ATTCCGTTACATAGTCCGTTATATTGAGACATATTTTTGGCATAGAAAGTGATTGAATTGGAGAATGATGTGTGAATCAAAGTTGTAGTCAGATGGGTTAGCTTTCCAACGCATTTTGAATCGCCTCAATCGAATATCGGAATACAAAGTTATGATAAAAACACTGAAAGAAGGGGCGGCTACCTGTTTAAAACAAGAAATTCTGTTACACAATCCGTTAAAATAACAAATTTCTTTAGTTTTTCCGTTAAACCAATAAATTCCGTTAAATAGACACTTTTTATATATAGAAAGATATTTAACAATAATAATTGACAATATTGATATTATCAAAAACTCGAGCCATTGATTTAAAAAATAATTTTTGAAATCGATGAATCAACAATTAATTTTAATAATATATTTTATGATTCCAATTTTTTAATCACGCATTTCATTAACTTTTTATTAAAATTTTGATTTTAATCTATATATTTAGTTAAAGTAAGATATTCTGTGAAAATATCTTACGTGAAAAAGAAATTGACCGCAAAGAAAATATTTTATAGAAATATCAGTATCTTTGGTGGGCCTAACGTGGAAGCCTACTGTTGGTTGATAAATGATAAGAAATTTGTGTCCATAATTCAGTAAAATACCACCACAATATTATATTATATATATTCTTCTAACAGTAATGCATATTACAGCACTAGGAACAACTCTTCACATAACTATTCCAATGGCAGGAGTCGCCGGTGTGATCATTACAACCCCACAAGTGCTGGCATTAGAATCCCCCAGAAAGTTACAATCCGTCAAATTCTCGTTGCTAAACAATCCATGGAAGAGGTGCACCAAATTTGGATGGGGTAGGATGTACGTCCATCCAGTGGCCGCAACACCAGAGGGCATTTCGGAGAAGGTGGCAGAGAGCGTGAAGAAAGCCGAGGAAGCCTGTTCCGAAAACCCCGTCGCGGGCGAGTGCGCAGCGGCGTGGGACGAGGTGGAGGAGCTGAGCGCAGCGGCCAGCCATGCCAGGGACAAAAAGAAAGACTCCGACCCCTTGGAAGATTACTGCAAGGAGAACCCGGAGACTGATGAGTGCCGCACTTACGATAATTGATTATTTTGTCATGATTATGTTTTCGAGTCTATTAACTAGCAAACGCTACTCTTATTTACTTGTGTTAATACTTCTCTACATATTTGTTAGATCGAATTAAAAAGTTATTACAAACGTCTAATCTTGAAGAGTTTATTCTCCTTTATTTAGCGTACCTAACTATTTTTCACAAAATGCGACAAATCGTATAACCACTGAGTGGCAATCAATTTGTTGCAAGATTTGTAAAATAGTGCAGCACCGCAAGAGTAACAACAAAATTCATACAACATCGACTTCAACAAAAAAAATCATATATACCAAGCAACCATCATCCAATAAAATAGATTTTACTCCCAGAAACCATTGATAAACTTACATCAAAGCAAACCATCAATCTAATAGACTCCATAGCACGGTTCATACTCTTTATCACTCAACAGTAATGTCCTCTTATGGGCACATTTGACAAGATAGACTAGGCAATACTGGTACCCAGTAACATCTAGTGTTTTGGATCAATCGTGCCCTTAATATCATCCTATTATTCTAGACTCAAATGATATACTGAAGGAAAACCAAACCATTATCCAAACATAGCATGACAAATGACACAAACTACCATAGGTGAACCAGCAAAGCCTCGCAGAAGAGACTTCTTTCACTATTATTCAGTACTGGAACATATCAGCAGATGCAGTGATGGGATGTATTGGGCAAGGAAGCTGCCATGGCTCGAGTAAGGTATCAGGGATATCAGGAATATCCACCACCAGTCCACTAACATCGGACACGATTTCAAGAACAGAGTTCAATGATCGAAGACGATCAGTCAGCTCTGCAAGCTGAGCTCTTAGCACGTTGTTCTCTGAAGCAACCCCAAGGTAAAGTTGATTGGTGTTGTCGATTTTCTGTGAAAGGAGATTGTTCTCGTTCTGCAGCTGGCTCACTTGGCCAACCATCACATCCAGATGTTGCTGCTTCCTCATCCGAGACCTGCGTGCAGATTCGCGGTTTGATATCATTCTCTTCCTTTTCCTTTCATCATAAACAGCATAGCGTTGGTCCACTTCGGACCCTGGACTAGTTGGCTGCTGTTTTGTCGACATTTTTGGCTCTTTAAATAAAAAAATTAACAGATTTTGAATGTAAATTTACTATTATTTTCTACAGACTATTGAGATTTGAATGTTAGATAGATATAAAAATTGAGGGTTTGAATAGTCAATAAATTTGGGAATTCTGACACTGCAAAATTAGGGATTTGGAAAATCAAAGGGCTGATTCATGAAAACACGTAGAAATAGTAGAGGAAAACAACTGAGAATGAGTGGAGAATTCTAATTCGACGCATCAGGATAGCGAGAGTCATTTAGATCTACGAAGAAATTTTATCAGAATCATAGAATTATGATAAAAATAAAAATAAAAACAATTCCTGATCTTTGATTCTAGTATTATAGCGCTGAAAACCCCAAGATCTGAAAGAACCTAAGCCGAGTTTGAGAACTTTCAAAAATCTGCAAAAATCACAGCAAAATAACATCGATTTATTACAAATAATCAACAAAATCAGAACACCAAAACATAAAAGAAACGCAAACAACATCAACTAGAACTAAATTGAATGCGAGAAAAATAGAAAAACAACATAAAACTAAAAACTTAATAATATATAATATTTTGAAAAAAAAAAAGGAACAAAGCGGAAAAACTTACCCGTTGAACAAAGAGGCTGCGTAGAAAAGTAGGGCGAAAGAAGGTTTACAAGCGTATCGAAAGGGGGTATTTATAGGCCAGGGAGAGGGTTTTTAGCTTTTTTGGATAACTTAAAAGTAATTTTTTATTGATTATTTTAATAGGTGTGCCGTCGGTGTACGTTCATAGGTAGGTAGGTAGACGCGTACAGCCAATGATATATGGGAGTTAATTGTTCAATGGTCGCTCAATTTATGCCTATATCTTCGATTACACACTTAATTTTAAGATGTCAAGTTTTGACCACTAAATTTATCAAAACGTTGGACGTTCACTCACTGCCTAAACATTTGTTTCAAATCTTTAACGGAATTAGTGACGTTGCTAACGGAATGCACACGTAACACCCGATCATGCAGTTAACAAATTATCACGTTTTCGATTACTTACTAAACTTTGAAAAAAGTCTTCAGCTCACTAAACTATTGAAAGTGTCTTTGATTGCTCACTGAATTTTAAGGTAGTCAAATTTTGACCACTAAACTTATAAAAATGACATTGACATATTGTTCGTTAAAAAATATGTATCGCGATCACACAAATCACTTAAAAGTAATAAAGTGGACAAACGAGTCGTGATTGTAGATCCCACGGTAAATGAATACTCAATTACACAATAGTTTCAACATATTTTTGTAGAATTTTAAGTTATTTTCATCATCTGAAAAATTCAAAGAAATTGTGTATTTCGTTGTTAAAATTAAATTAATATTTTTTTATTGGTAATGAAACACGCAATAAATTTAATTGAATGAATTTTACAATGAAACACACAATAAATTTGATTTAAAAAAAAAGAGCTTAAAATTATACAAAAATATGTTAAAATTAAATAGAACTATTGTGTAATTGAGTGATCATTTGATTCATTTCTCGTGAAATTGACAATCCATACTCTTTTATCCGCTTTATTACTTTTACGCAACTCGTGAAATTGTGATATGTATTTTTTAACGAACAATAGGTCGACATTATTTTTATAAGTTTAGTGACTAAAATCCAATCTCCTTAAAGTTTAGCGAGCAATTGAAAACTTTAATAAACAATCGAAAACGTTTTTAAAAGTTTAGTAAGCAATTGAAAACGTGGAAATTTGTTAACGACGTGACGGGGCGCAACATGTACATTCCGTTAGTCACTTCACTAATTTGGTTAAATATTTGGAACTAATGTTAATGAAGTAAGCAACGTCCAATATTTTAATAATTTTAGTAGTCAAAATTCAACATCTTAAACTTTAATGAGCAATCGAAGACATGGACATAAGTTCAATGACAATTTGGACAATTAACTCGATATATCATAATGGCAGGTAAGCAACAAAAGTTTGTTTGGCAATTAATTTTATAAATCAATTGAAATTAAACAATAATGTTAATCTTATATTTATACCCATCTGTCCCATTTATATATAGGTTGATTTTATTTTTCACACAAATTAAGAAATGTTATTTAATGTTATTGAAAAAGTGATTTTTGCAAAGAATTTCCTTCGAAAACCTTGTATATGTATTTGGATGATTTCAAGGAGTATGCAAATTAAAATTTGTACAATTTCAAGATTAGAGCATGTTTGTCTACCATTATTAGTAGAAAAATGGAGTAAGAAATAATATTTTTTGGAGAATGTGTGATTGAAATTTAAAGTAACTTTATTAGTTTGCATGTTTGTCTACCATTATTGGTAGAAAAATGGAGTAAGAAATAGTATTTTTTGGAGGATGTGTGATTGAAATTTAAAGTAACTTTATTAGTTTGTATGTGAAATATTTTATTGAGTGAATACATGGTTGAGATTGTTTACTGTAGAAAACAATGTTTGTAAAAATGATAGACAAACATGGGCTAAACGAAGAAAATTGATTATAACTAGACAAATTAAAAACATGTATATCAGTAAATGAATAAAACAAATATATTCTCAGACNTGAAATGCTGAAATTATCTATAACCTTCTATTCCCCTGTTAGATTCCCATTATTTCAAAAATACATTTTTCTCTCTCTTCTTTTCAACCACACATTCTTCAATAAAATAATATTACACGCAAATTCAAAAAAATTTCTTATTTTTTAACAACACATTTTCTATCAATATACTAGTCCAAAATAGATTCTTAGAATAAAAATGGGCTCAAAAGGCACTGAATAAATCAACAAGACTATAATTTGGAACAAGAAAAAAAAATCAGTCTATATAAACGGGATGGAGAGAGTAATTAATACTCATTTACTATCTATACATTCCGTGAATCTATTACTGTTTCTCTTTAAAGTAATTTTATTTAGCTTTGTTGTGTATTAAAACATCAATTTAGATAGCGCCGAGTGAATTAAATGATAAATATAATTAACAGGAATCACTTGATTATATTTTGAGTGAGTCTAATATATAATGTTACTTGGATTGTTGGCGTAGCATCAATGGAATTGGATATCATTATTCTCCACTTTATAAATTGTTTTGTAAATTTGCCAAGTGGAGCGGCCCAATTGGTTGAGTATTAGGTATCTTACACTTAAATTGCACTTCTTGGAAGCTACGGATATTGCACACTGTGATTTGGTCATGGTAATTTGAGAAGGAAAGTAAATTTATATAATATATACCAATATGGCATGATTTTTAGCAATTACTAAAGTAAATGATAATGTGTTATTACCAATATTTTAAAAATAGACCCGATCATTGACTCGAAAAAGTTAAAGGGTCTAGAGTTAAAAAGGTTGAACCGGGGTTGATTCGGAACAAAAATAATAAATAGATAATTTTACATATTACATAAAAAAAATTTATTAATTAAAATAGCATCTTGAAATGAATTATTTCACAGTTTATTGCTTATTGAGCAACTTAATTTACAGCCTATTATGCAATGGCTATTCTCTCAAAAAAAGTCACTTTTTAAAAATCACTCACATAAGAACTTATTTTATTTATTTTTCTTTCAATTATTGAAGATTTTTAATTTCAATATTTTTTGTTAACTTTTTAAATCCAAAGAAAGTCAACATTTTGGAACCTTTGAAAGAATATTCTTCTGGCGATTAGTACTAGGAAGCGGAACCGAAGGTGCAGATGACGTAAGAGATGATATAAGCTTATTGCCGGGAAGCCCTCAACGTGCAATATACCATTCTATTTAAATAAAATAAAAAATAAAGAACAAATTACAATCTTACTCCTAAAACTTTTTAAAAAGTGCAAATGAGTCCAAATAAATTATTAAAAATAACCAAAAATAAAAATAAAAAATGTTTCTCTCTCCTCTTCTTCTCCTCCCCCTCCCTCTCTCTCTCTCAGCCTCCTCGTCCACCACCACCGCTAAAACCATTGAAGCTCACACCACAAAATGCTGTCATCAACCCCAAATACTTGTGTTATAATAGAAATTGCAAGTGAAGAAAATGCACTATCTATATTTTCCTCGTATCGAGCCCCTTCAACATTCTTTCCACTGCAAGTCTAGTACAAAATTTTCATCCCGGAGATTTGAGAAAATCCTGCAACTTCATAAAGCATGTATGGAGAAAAGGGTATGCATTATTCTGCAAGATAGCCAAGTATGGGGTTTCACTGGGGGGCATGTTCGGTAGTTGAAGCTCATAGCAATAGGTGCTCTACCAACCGTGATAGAGGAACTAGTGATTGCAGAATTGGAGATGTTAGGTGAAGCTACACTACCTATTGTGGTTGGAGGCTTTGCAGTAGTGGGTCAAGCAGAGGCAACCACCACAGCTGCCTGTTGCTGCTTCAGGGGAAAGATAAAAGCCGGTTCCTGAACAAGAAATTAAATTCAACAAAATATTCCCCGAATTCCAGAAAACAAGAAATGTAAATGGCAGCGAAATTGGGAGGAGAGCACTAAACAAGTATATTATTAAGTGCCACAGGGGGTAATAATTGCTGTAGCAAATTCTGCTGCTTTCTCTGAGCAGAATTCGAAGTACTTGGAGGTTGAGAACCTTTCTCCTTCCTAGTATGAATGGGGATATTAGTAAAACCCCAGACAGGTCTTCTCTGCATTGAAAAAGGCCATTAACGGTGGTTTGGCCACTACCAGTGGTGGTTTTGTAAAATTTGGCGTTTGAGGATTGGGCAATAAGGGTGCCAACAAGGGACGGAGAGTGCTTGTGAGTAAACCCCCTATTGGATATGCTAAATCTTGCTTGGGACAGCATTTGTACACTAAACTAGTGTAGTCAGGTGCAGATTTGGATATTGGGGTGAGCTCAAGAATGGTTAAAATGTGTGGACAAACAGGAACAAAATAAAAGGTAATTCTCGGCAAACCCATTGATGGATTCTTAATAAAATCAGATCATCATTTATTTTTCTTCACCAATTTCTTCTGACATGCGGCTAAAGATAAGATTTTTGGGTGTTCTAAAAGATGGGTTTTATTTAAGAATGAGGAACGATTTCTTGTGGTGGTTGTGGAGGAGGCTGAGGGACGGGGAGGAAAAGAAGATGAGAGATAAACAATTTTTATTTTTGGTTATTTTTAATATTTTAATAATTTATTTAGACTCATCTACACTTTTTAAAAAGAAAAATACTATTCATCCCCAGTGGGGATGTATCCCCAGTTTATGTGGATGTAAATTATTGGGTAAATGATAGGTGAAATTAAATGACCTATCATTTAATGTCACATTGACGCCACATAGACTGGGGATGCATCCACAGTGGGGATGAATAGCATTTCTCTTTTAAAAAAGTTTAGGAGTAAAATTATAATTTGCCCTTTTTTTTTTCTTTTTTTTGTTTTATTTAAATAGAAGGGTATATTGGTCAATTTACGATAAAATTTGTGAAAATGATGTTTTCCGTAATGAAACGTTGAAATAAGGAAGAAAATGTAAAAAAATGAAACATAGAAACGTTTTCCGCAAGAAGTGTCAAACGTATGGACGTTTTGTGCTATTAAGCCTTTTATAAAACTAATGTCTAGATACATGGTAATCCACGAGGAGTTAACATATGTGATTCAATTTTTGTTGGTCAGTTTGTTGTCCATTCAATTATTTATTGATAAGTCATTTTTAAATTAACATATCATCTCAAATTTACCCTAATTAATTTCAATATTAACCCACTGAAGTGTTAATTTAAAATGACGTATTAATAATTAATTGAGTGGTTAGCTAATTGTACCAACCCAACTATTGAACTTTAATTTCTTACAACTAGTTCACTCAAGTCTATGTTTGGCTCCAATTTTAAAAAAATAAAAATTTATTTTCAACGACACATTTTTAAATAAAATAATTTTTTACGTAAATCAATTTTTTTCCTTTTTAATCACATATAAAAAATTATTATTCCAAAATATATTTTCTTCTCAAAATGGGCTCAAACAAAGGCTTAACTTTAATTAATAGCATGTTTGAGTCTCCCATTAAAAAGTTAAGAATGCATTTTAAAATAGTAAATTGAGGAAGAATGCGTAGTTGAAAAATAAGAAAAAAAAAGTTTTAGATCTGCGTGTAATATTATTTTATTGAAAAATATGTGATTGAAAAGAGAAGAGAGAAAAATGTATTTTGAAAGTAACCACAATCAAATAAGGGCTAAATAACAATTACACCACTCAATATTGACATTATTAGATGACATAACATATTTGATGCATAAGTGAAAATTTGACATATTAGTTCCGAGGCTACATACTCCTGGTGATCCATAGCAAAGTCGGTTTAAACATCATTTATGAGGTGTTAAATTGCATTAAGTAGTTGATTGCTGTTAAATTAAAGTTAATGTGACTCAATTCCTAGGAATTAAAGTCTAATTTAATGATCTAATCGCAATTAGGGTGAAGTTATGTGATCACCGCTACGCTAGTTCAAATCTGAGATATGATTTTCATTCTTTTCAAAATATATTTTTCTCTCTAATCACACATTCTTTAATTAAATAATATTACGTACAAATTCAAAAACATTTTTTTATTATCTTTTAACCACGTATTTCCGTCAATCCACCTTTCAGAATGTATTCTATACCGAAAATGGACTCAAACCAGGCCAGAATTGACTGGAAAACTAGCACATTCACAGATGTACCCAGCATCGAGCACCACCAGTAGAAACCACGTCGAATTACTCGACAATTTTCCTACGACCACCAACTCTGATCGATCAAGCCCGCGCTCGAGCTCGCTGGCGGCTTTCTGAGCCGTTTCATCCTACACGGAGTTCTCCACGGAACAACTTCGTATATATTTAGAAATTGTAGATTCAGCTCGAAGACGGGGTAAAATGGAGTTAGAAGGAGTGCGGATTGACGACTAGGCGAAGAGAATGAGAGATCTGCTATCGAGCTTCTACTCTGCAGATCCTTCATATGTACATGAATCTTCTCGTACTTCACCTCATTTCCTTTTCATCTTTTAGTGCGGATTTCTCGTTTGCTTTTAAAATTAATCCAGCTTTAAATTATGTTGCGAGAAATTTTTTTGATTTGCATAATGGATATGCTATGCCAAAATATGACTACCAATTAGTAGCATTTCGTTACTAAATTTAAAGAGAAGTGATTATGCATCATCATTTGTTGCATGGCTTTTTTGCCTTTGCCTTGTCAGTGCTGAATGAAATGGATTATTTTCCAATAAACAAACCTGAAGTAATAGAGATAGCAATATATCTTACAATTATCCATAATTTAAGAGAAAAAGGAGGATAATTGTCTGCTTTTATGGCTACAAAAGGCACAAATATGATACTTGTGTATTACTCTGCAGGGGTCTTCCTGGAAGTTTGTCTGTCAAAATTGTTTCTTCGAAGTATGAAATTTATAATAGAGAGTAGAGACCAATACTGCATGATCATACATTTCATGTTTCCATCTTTTACTTGAATGTAATTTTCAAGACATCTTTCCAGGGGTAATTTGGAGTGATGTGCTCTTGATAAGTGAAGTGTTACCAGAGGCCGATCTACCTGATTATGCCTTGCAAGTTCTCCTTGTTCATGCTTTTACTAAAATGAACTATAAATTACTTCTTGTGCCTATCTATCTTGATTTCAGTGTTGTTTTTACCAAAATTGGTATATTAATGTGTGTATGGATTCAGTCTCCACTGTCTCTTCATTTCATGATCTTCATCCTGGGATTCTTTCTTTTAAACACTCTCCCTATCATTTCAAAACTTCTCGTTCTCTGTTATTTCATCAGGCCTTTTCAAAGGGACACTATGACTTCACTGCTGTTTTTGAAGAGCAGCGACTTCTGTAGGCATATTAAACTAAAGTGTGATCCGCATTTGCACTTTAGGCTGCCATCTGAAAAGCAGTCAAATCTCTATTCGTGCAAAATGGTATTTCAGTGCAAAGTGGCACTGGTGCTTGACAAAAAATGTGATCATTGTTTCAAGAGTTAAATACCAATTCAAACTCTAGTACAAAAAAAGTTCGGTATAGTATGGACACATTATGAGTGCCTTCTTGCCTTAAAATGATCAGATTAATATTTTTCATCGTAATATTTTATATTTTTCTTCTTCGTGAAAATCTTCAGTTCTAGAAAGGCTTAAAGATTTCTATGTTTTCACAAACTTTTTCTGTAGCACAAAGAACCCAGGCATGTACACATGTTTGTCGATCTACTTCTCCAAGAGGTAATTCTGTCATCATGTTTTCATCTTGTTCTACTGTATCGTTATAATCATGTCATCGGTAATGTATTATCCTTTTTGTCTGCCTTGTTATATAGTTGGAAGCAATAGGAGCTGAGGTAAAACAAATTTTTGCCCGAGGCCTTCATCACAAGCATCATTGCACAGACAGCAATGGTAGCATGACATCCTTGCGCAGCAATCCTTTCAGGGATGATAGACTCAGCCGATCGAATACCCAAAAGGCCCGAAGCCAGCTTCTGGAGACCCATCTAGCAAAATTATTCAAGCAAAAGATGAAAATTTTTACTAAAATTGAGCACGCTCAGGTTGAGGAACTTCTGATCATGGAGATTATATCTCTTCATATCCTGACAATATCTAATGAGTTGTTTTTAACTACAGGGATCTGTTTTAACATATATTGTGAAACTTTCTTTAAAGAATTTGTCAAACTGCAGACATTCAATTGAAGTGGGTTTCAACAAATTCAGTTGGATATTCAGTTTTTAAAGATTACGTTAAAGGAGATTGCTGAGGATGAAGCTGCTTTGGATTTCTTGCTTGATGAGGTAAGGGCTGTTCAAATTAAAATGAAATTTCTCTGACTATTCTTTTAATGGAAGACCGGCCAACTAATTAAATTCCCCATGCAAATTCTTATAATCAAAGCTAAACGACAAGGGCGTTTAATGGAATATTTTCCTTAATTGATTTGGCTAGATACAATAATCGCTGAAACAACAATTCTTGAGGAAAGAAAGTTTTCCATATGTTCTTATAGTTCTACTGCAGAATGAGAAGTGTTGATGTGTTTTTATCGACAAGGTGATTGTTGTCACTGCAGATCGTTGTTTAGATCCAATTCCTTAGAAACCTCCCATATTGGACAAACTTGTTCAAGCAAAGTTAGCAAAGAAATCAGAACAGAGCCCAGTTTCATGAAATAGGTCAATTTCTTACTATTCATTGATATATTTCATTCGGATTACGTTTCTTCTCAAGCATCAACAATTTATTGATATATTTCATATTGGACCCGGAGCTGAAATGCTATCTTGTTCAAAATGGCAGGTTTCTGAAACTTCAGCTATTGTACCTTGGTTTCCTTCTTGCATGGGGATGTTCCTCTTCAAGTATTTCCTGTCAATTTCTTATAATTTTCCTGCGAGGTTCCGCAAGATTTTTTCTATTGGACGGGTTTATTGTGAGAAAGAGAGGACTAGAATTAATCGATGGATGCTTGTGTGCGAAGAGCAATCAACATGCAGCTTTGCACCACTAGGATCTACAAACATGGTTCGTAGCACCTGTTTGACGCACGTTAATTCCTCGTTTAATAAAAAATGCTACAGTTGCAACAGTAAATGCTACGGTGACGTAGCCGCAATATTTGAAAACACAAAAGTCAGCCGTCTTTTGGCATTTGAAATGTCATAATTGTCATTTTTTTAAATTTGGCAGAGAACAAGTGAGGGGAAACATAGTATTTTTACAAATTTTTTCAGCTGATTCAGGCAACACAGTAAAAAATGGATGCCAAAGTGGGCCAAGATCACTGTATAACAGTAAAATTTTTCATTCTCATTTTCGGAAAAATACGCACCAAACGGGGGCATAATATTATTGTCGTTTAAGCATCAGTCAAACTGTATATTTACTGTTCGCACAAGTTATGCATTTATGCTTCGATTCATCTATAGAAGATGAACATTTGGAAGATAGATATACGTTTTGTTGGTTCTGCGTTTGAGGTTTTAATTTATCGGTGAAGGTTTGGGGTTTTTCTTTTTATAAATAAAGGGATTGCACTTCTCTGGAGTTTTATTTTTAGTATTTCAGCCTGCTGTGTAATTATACTCTTTTTATTCTGACTCCTGCTTAATTGATTATTTTTTCAATTTGAAGGTACACTTTTGTTATCTCTGTTCAACAAATATTGCACGTGTTTCTGCAAAAACATCTAATTGACGAGTTGAGTCATCTTGGGTACAGTTTAGACTTGTTAAGGAATATATATCCCACATCGATAAATAATGTTGACACATGCCAATTAATAAAGATATTGGACTACACCTCTTAACAAGGTTGATATTTTAAGATGAAACCCCAAATCTTAACATGGTATTAGAGCCCATTATGCTCAAACGAGCGATTTGACCCTGTTAAGACTCTAAAATGAGCACGTGGATTTCAAGATTGGTCTGCTCAAATGAGCCACCATCTTACGAGGGCGTATTAAGGGATGTATATCTTACATTGATAAATGATGTGACACAGACCAATTAATAAAGATTTTGGATTACTACTCTTAACAAGATTGACCTTTTAAGATGGAATCTCGAATTTTAACAAGACTACAAAATTTCCCTTCAAAAGTTGTGTTCTTAGAATAATGTCATTTATGGTAGAGTCACATTTATGTTGTCCCATGAAATTTGAACGTACTTCACGGATATGGATAATCAAAGAGATAGATGTAGATATTTTGAGTTAGTAGTACAATCAAACTCTGTTTAAATTGAATACATTATTCTTGATTTTTGAATGATTCATATTTAACCCAAGAAAATATAGATTTACATTTAAAAAATATTTATTCATTAATATTTTTCTCATTATTTTTATCTATTTGATTTCGAAAAGTCATTTTATTAATATTTAGCTCATCATAAGAAAATGCATATTTACATTTAAAAGATTTATAGTGTATTTGATATAAAGAATCAATTAAAGTAATTGAAAGGAAAAATATATAACTAATATTCAACACTAATAATCAATCAAATAAATACAATTCATTAAATATAAATCAAAATGAATATAATCAAAAAACAGATCAAAATAAGTAGCCAACTTAGATGAATCTGGTCTCTCAGTGACTTCCTTTCAGACACATTCTATATACATAATTTGATAGGAGCAAAACACAAAGTTATGTTATAATNTTCTATATACATAATTTGATAGGAGCAAAACACAAAGTTATGTTATAATTAGTTGAAAATTTGATTAGAAAGTGAAGATTTGTAATAGATGTCACAATTTGTAGAGAAACTATAAACAAATTTTTAAAAATTAGAAGGGTTACGATTTTGCTAAAAGGCATGAGGGAAAGAATAAGAGAGAGAAAGAGAAAAGAAAAAAAAATTCAAAATTATTGTGATTTTGCCCCATGTTTGATGGGGATTACAATAATATTTTTAGTAAATTTTGATAAAAGTTGAAAAGTTATGGATTTCACGAAATATGTTATTAAAATTAATTATTAATTTTGATTTAGATTTCATTCGATACTAAACATAACTTAAAAATAAAAAATAAAAAAAAATGTCTCAAATGTTGGGAGGTCACGTGACCCCAGGACCCCTCAGGTCCACCAATGAATAACCATTTAGACTCTGAGTAAACAGCATTATTCTTGATCTTAACATTATTTTTTCACGCTAGAAACAGTTGTGCTCCTTGAGGTGCCTAAATGGGCGAACTTTTGTGATGCCTGAATCAATCGACTTAAGCCTAGACTGTCTTCTCAGAAAATGGTAGTCTTTGGACAAAAATGTTTGGGCCTGTGTTTTTTAAATGATCCAAGTAAATATATTTAAAAGAATTTGAAAAAAAAAAAAAGGAAAAACTTATTTATTTTTAACTACAATTTAAATTTTAAAACACAAACGGAAAGAGCTGATAAAGACCACATCCCTCTCTTTTGTCCTCAATTTGGGGGCAAGGGATTTTTTTCGAACCTTGCTACATTGTCAGAAATTTTTGTAAGATTCATTGCCATAATGGTACATGAAATTTTATTATTTGACTGTTTAAAAAATATTTTCTACATCCAATCATACCCTGTCAATAAATCATGTGTCAAGGAATCTAGCAACATTTTCTGGTAAAATGGCTTTAACTCATTTTTTCCTGGTTCTTACCCTGAATTTCCACTAACTGATGAATACATTTTGTGACTGGGTGGGACGGACCAGAGAATTTTGTTGTCCTATGCTTGTCCCTAAGGTTTATTTAATTAACAACCTTAAATTGATGGAAATTTGTCCATTTTCTTGTACTCGCTACTCAGTGTTGCAAAGTGACTTTAACCAATACTCGTGGGACCAAAAACCGATTTTTCAATGAATTGAAGACGTGTACGTTGGGGTGAGCTCGGTGCAGAATGCGCGCAGCATCCCCAAAATCCCGCCATCCCATACGCTTTCCCGGCGAAAATCCCCTCCCCTTCTCCCGCGTTTTTCCCCCTGTTCATTAGAAATTCTTCATTTCTCTCAGTAAAATTTTAGCTCAACCTCTAGACTCACTCACTCTACTCACACACA